GACGAGAGGCAATGGCCTCAAGTTGCATCAGAGGAGGTTTAGGTTAGACATTAGGAAAACTTTCTTCACTGAAAGAGTGGTCAGGCATTGGAACAGGCTGCTCAGGGAGGTGGTGGAGTCACCGTCCCTGGAGGTGTTTAAAAAAAGTGTAGACATGGCACTTCAGGACATGGTTAATTAGGCATGGTGGTTTTTGGGGTGATGGTTGGGCTTGATGATCTGAGAGGTCTTTTCCAACCTTAATGAATCTATGATTCTGTTCTATGATTGGGGAAAGTTTATTGTCATTTCAACCAAAGCTGCCTTAAGTTAGTGTTTTAAAGTAGTTGGAAAAAACACCTGCACGGAGGTTTAATGTGTGTTCGTTGTCAGCATCAGCTGATTTGTAGTAACTCTTCTGAGCGTACTAAGGCAAAAACAAATGCAGGCTTTGCTTGTTAGGTGACATTTGTTAAAGGAATTTCAAGATTCCTTAAAGATTGTCATATAATTAGGATTTACTGGTTTGTTTAGAGGTACTCTTAGATGTTTAGGTAATTAATGAAAGAAATTACAGTGTTTCAGCAGAAAGCATATTGCAATTGCAGCAGTCCATTTATTTTTTCAGTCCATTTACTGATGAATTTGCAGTTCTCATTTCAGTTTAGGTGAAGTAATAATAAACAGAGGCTAGAGATTATCTCCATCCAGAGTGTTGTAACGTAGTAATAATAGCAGGCATATTTGTTCTCATCAGCTTGGCTTCCATTTTCTTATTAATGGCAGTAAAATCTACAGTCTGCAATTAATCATTTGGAAGCAACAGTAGTGTAGCACCTTGTTTAGTTTAATTTCAGTTTATTGGATTTTAAGTTCACATTGTTGTTGTTTGGTGTTTGTTTATACTTGCCATGGTCATGATCCTGATTTTTCATTGTAAGATTCAAGTATTAGATGTTTACTGTAAGTTCTGCCATTGCTTTTGAAGGCACTGTGTCAAAACGGAAACATAGCCAGTTTGAACCTGCGTACAATTTCTGTGAACTTTTCTCCTACAAGAAGTATTTACAACAGTATTTTCATTTGCCAGCAACACTGTTGGAAAGAAAACAATGCACAGAAGTCATTTTCAAATCCTCTGAAGGGATGATTTGCTCTGCTGCGCTGGAGCTCCCCAGCGTGCATTCTTTCTCAGAACCCACTCTTTCTATGTGCTACATGGTATGGGGTTTGCATTTTATGATGCTGGGAGGATTATAAGTAGTAAAAATACTGTGTACTTTAAAGCAACGCTTGTCTAACCTGTTCTGCTGAACTTGGTGCTGCTTTACTTATTGTCTTGGCAGAGCAGAACTAGCTATGGTTTTGTGGAACAAGAAGTGGATAAGATACATTGTAGTTATTTCCTTTAAAATTAATACTCTTCTGTCTTTGATGCATGCAGTAGTGAGCTGGTATCATTAGGTCATGTTCAAGCAATATTATTTACATCTTGGTCTAAGCTGTTTTTCTTCTTTTTTCTTTTTCTTTTTTTTGTCCCTCAGTTTGTAAGACTTGTATTGTTCAACACTTTGAAGACAGCAATGACTGTCCCAGGTGTGGCAACCAAGTGCATGAGACCAATCCACTAGAAATGTTAAGGTAAGATGACATTGCACAACATTTGCTGAAATGGAAGAAGAAAACAGAAAAAAAATATTCTTAGTATCTTTATCCTGAAAGGGAATTAGTTTTTTGCTTATTTGTATAATATATGTATCAGCTGTTCTTGGCCATAGGTTCTGTCAATTTCTCATCTCCCAATAAATTATAAATGGAGTTTTTTCAGATACAATAAAAGGAGGAAAGATAAGAGAAAGACACAGAAAGGCTGAGTATATTGTACAAATTAAAATAAATATTTTAATACCTCTACTAAACAAATAAATGAAGCAGATACCTTTTATTCTTTACATGAAATTAAATTCTAGAGTGGATTTTTTCAAATTATTTAGGGTATTCCAGACTGCATGAAACTTTTTCCCTTCTTAGACCAATATAGAAAATGAATTATGCAAACAACTGAATGTTTTCCGGAGTGTAGATCTACCAATCTGAATTGAGATCTGCTGTCGGATTAAAGAAGACACTCATGAAAGAAAGTTTTGACACTGAAAATGCCATTTCTTGAGAGTTTGCATTTTTTTATATCATGATAACACATCTTTGTTTAAACAATTTTTTTTTTTCTGAAATTCTGGGTTTTCTTTTAGTGGTGTTATGTTGAACCAAAAGTGATAGTCATCCTATAAGTATAGTACAGGTGAATCAAGAAATGTCATCGTAAGTGGAAGAACTTCATGTTTTCCGAAAATGAGGAAGCCACTCCCAACACTCCCTCCACCCCCTCACCTCCCCTAGTATTATTAGATCGTAAATACTATTGTGAACTTAGCAAGAAATATTCTTACATCAATGTTAAAATAAATATGTACAGCTGGAATTTACAAGGGTTGGTATTGTTTCCTAATGTCATTGTGTTTGCTACAATTTGTCATATTTTGCTTTGATTTTTGACTGATATGTGTGTGCAGAGCAATTCCCATGCCTCCGTTATGTACCAAGAGGATAGGTGAGAGAAATTATATTCAGCAACTCGAAAGGGTGTTGTTATCCTAAGTCTTTATCATCTGAATGTTTCTTGGAAGGGTAGGGTTAAAAGGGTTTGTGTAGATGTTTACTGTAAGTATTTTTCTGATCTCCTGTCAGTGTGTCTGAGGTGCTGTGTCAGCCGTAACAGAAGATGCTATACAGAGTGCATAAGACTACTAATAAGCTGAAAATGAAAGCATTTTGGAAATAATTCTTTTATTCTGACAGGACCATTTCAAAGGAGCTGAAAAATGCATTTTCTGAAACATCTAGTGGATGTTTAGTAAAATAATAATATGCTTTAAGCAGGAAATGATAGAAGGGTGAGAAAAGTTGAGACCAAAAGCCAGAAGTGTGGGAAGAGCTATTTTCTCTGCGATTATTTCCTGAAACTCATTTTAGAGTCATTGGGTTTATTTGCCAACAAACTGCATAGAACTAGTAGTTTGCTGCTACGAAATAGTTTTAAACGTTTGCTAAAGTAATAATCAGAAGAGCACTTGAGCAGTATGATGAAATTGTCTTTTTTGGATGTTGGCTGCATAACTTAATACATGTCTTATACTCTGACTGGAGAGACTAGCCCCGTCATTGCTCAGGAATGCAGCCATTTTGTGAGAAATGACGTTGAACACTCTAGATACTATTTTTAACTGAGTTCTTTGAGATAAAGTTTATAAACTACTTAATAAACTCAATTGTGAATAATTTCATAACTATGTGAGTTTTTTAGATGTATCTTTTAGTTGGTAACTCTTAGGGTCTGTTGAAACTGTAAGCTTAACTCTGAAATTCAACACTGAGCTCTAAAATGAAAATCTAGGAAGAGTGTCAAATTCTAGAATTCCCTTTTCTGATTTAGCAGAATTCTGCATCGTCAGTCTTCGATAGGGTCTGGGTTGGTTATACCATGAAGGCAGGCTTCTTTTTTCTTGGTATCATGCTTCTTCGGATGCAAGTTTCCTGAGTGATAGTCTTCGTTTGCTTTGCTTCAGATAATTACCAATTATCAGGGCATAGCTTTGATCTTGTAACTCAATTCAATATTGTAGAAGAGGTGAAAAAAGAAACTATATGAAGCTGACGTAACTGCTTGGTTCTTCTTGCTATACATTCTGGTTTGGAGGTTGGGAGATGTGGGAGTGGAAAGAGGTGTGTCTAAAATATTAAAGTTCTTGTTTCAGCATTAACAGGAAGTATCATATTAAATGACCGAGACCAGCTTTGGAGCTATGTCAAGTAGTTTTGTTTTGGAATGAGTTTGATGCGAGTCACAGAAATACAAATCTTTGTTAGAGTGCTCGTAGGCATGGATAATAGGAACACTGTAAGATGCATCTGAAATTGAGAATTTCTGTATAATTTCCTATTTCTTCCATATAGTTTGTCTAGTTTCCCTGTACTTAAAGATCAGATAAGTATTATTTTTTCTGCATTTTAAAATGTTAGTTAGTATTTACATTTCATAAAGATGAAATAGCTCTTTTTGTTTAGTTTTTGAAAGAAAATAGTCATTGACTAGAGTATGAACTCGGTTTTTGCTGCTAGCATCATAAATTTTCTAAGCATACTGGTTTTCTTGCAATGTTAGCGTTACCAGTGACTTCTCTTTTGGGCTGTTAAAGATGAATTAGAAAGCGCTAAGTGGGAATTTCAAAAATAAATGTAGAAGAAACAGCAAGTATTATACCATCCTGAGGAATGGTTGGTGGGATTTTGAATTGAGGTAGTGATGATCTCTTTTGAAGTCCTTATTTCTTTTCTCTTAATGATTAAGTCATGAAGACTGGAGCTTTCTTACAATGTGAAATGAATTCCATTTCCAATACAGGTTCCCAGTGCTCTGCTGTGGGAACTTCATGAAAAGCAGTACCATCTAGTTGCATTAGATATTGAGAGGAGAGACTAGAAGAGATAACATACCGTTTGGAAAGGTAGACCTATATGGTCATCTATTAGAAGATAAGTGCTCAGACATCCAGTGATTTTGTTTTTCTTATCTGTGAGAAAGTGCTCTCTGTGCGGCTTTGGTTTAAGGGAGGTCCGTTTCACTTGCTGATGATTTTTTTTTTCATTACTACTTTATCCTTATAAGAAGAAGCAGTTAAAAATGGGTCGTGGTCATAGCTTAAATATAAATGTTCTTATGGTATGAATGTCTCCATGAACTGATGGATAAGATAGGAAATTAGTCTTAAAACAAGATGATTGGGTAATAAGTCTAATTGTAAACTTTTATTACAAATATAAATTCTGTAAAGAATAGAACCTGGAATGCTCATATATTTATTATAAGATAATTGTTATCTGCTAAAATGGCTTTTAGGCATTCCTTAACAATAAAATCAGTCAGTCGTCTTTCTACTTCGTCACTGCTAGTGAATGGAAGATGGAGAACAGTCGTGTTTTATAACAGGCCTGTAGTGTATTATTCATAACAAGCACACATACATGTATGTATATATGCAAATATATATGTATATAGGGAGATATATATCATTATTGAGTTGAAAAATCAAGACAATTGAAAATATACCAAAGGAAATTATTGCATTGTAGCTTCTGACTGAATGTCAAGGTACTTCATTTCTCTGTCTGTATTACTTAGTACTTTGTTTTGTCATGAGTTTTTGTTTAGGCTGTGGACAGTGGGAGTTACCGTTTGCAGGAGAAGATGTAGAGGGCAGATGAAAGAAAGGAAAAGGAAACAGAATGAGAGACACAGGAAACCAAAGGATAAGTGAGATAGGGCAAGGAAGAGGAAGTAGAAAGCAGATGATAAATTAAATGGAAAGGACAGTAGGTAATATTCAGAGAAAAGGGGATAAAAATATTTTAGCTTCAGCAACAAAGGTAAATGCGCTGTGTCCTCTGGAAGGGACTATTTCTGGCACTGATACAAGGATATTGGAGGACATGCCTGTGCTGTGTACTGTCAGCTGGTAGACAAACTCATGGCAGATTACAATAGTTAAAATGAATTAGGTCGGGTATGGAGAACTGTCTAGCCAGAGCAGCATGGATGCTCTGTGGTCGTCTTTATCCTGCCAAGATTGGTTTGTCTGTGTTGTAATGAGTAGGGAGCAGTCTGTTCAATTTTTCATAACAGCCTTGTTACCAAAGCACTTGAACACTTAATATGATAATGGAGTTTATAATTTTCATCCTTATTTCTCATGATCCGGACCTTAAAATTGGATACTACTTTTCCAGTTTGTTGTTTTTAGTAACATGATTGTTTGCATGTAACACAAATTAAAACAATGAAATTTTAGAGGATAATGTTTTGTCTCTTTTGTTTCATTTTTTTCTTTACACACTAAAAAAATTAATTCCTTGGTTGTTTCTAAAAGAAATCAGTTCAAGAGATGGTTGAGATAAGCATTACTGCATGTTGTTTCTCAAGCTAAAATCTATTGGGTTTTACGTGATGTAGTATTTACAAAAAATAGGCAATTTATTTTATTATTCAAAAGTTTTTTTTGTTTAAAGGCTAAAAATATTTAAAATGCTAGTTTCTACTTAATGTGCAATGCATTTTTTCCCTTTTAAAGGCTGGATAACACCTTAGAGGAAATTATATTTAAGCTGGTGCCTGGACTTCGAGAACGTAAGTTTCTGACTTGGTTTTGGGTATCTGGATTGATTCTGGGAATGTGGCTATTTCTGATGATATACCTGTAGTATTGATTTAAAAATTCATAGTATGTTTTTTGATGTTAACTAGAGGAACTGCAGCGAGAGATCGAATTTTGGAAGAAAAACAAACCTCAAGAAAATGGACAAGGTGATGATTTTTTTTCCCTCTCATCTAAATGTTAAGTAACATTGCTCATTAAGCCCTGTTTTTTCAAACATTTGTGCATGTACATGTTTTTTTACTGAATTTGAAGATATTACAGAAATTCATAACAAATCTATGTAAATTTCATCTGGGCCTTCGTGTACTGCTGCTTATCTTTTAACCAGTTGTTTTACAATCACTAGCTGTTTTACCATTATTTTTATTTGCATTTCCCTAAGCTCTCACTTTCACCACTGATGTGATTTTCTACTTGAATTTTAAATTTTTTTAATATAGCAAGATGCAGAACTGCTTGAGTTTTTTTACAGATTATTTTCTGTCACTGAATTTCACCAGCTGTTAAGTAGGAGGCTGTCAAGAATTAGTTATGACAAGTAGTAAAACAGTTTTCCACACATGCTAAACAATTGTTTTATGTAGATTCCAAAATGTTTTTTCCTTTTTCGCTTTCTTTTTTTTTTTTTTTGTAGTTGACCTATGAACTTTGAGAGCTCAGTATTGAGATGCTAAATGAGGACTATATCCAACTGTTCTTATGCCCCTTTAATTTGGTATTAAGGTTTTGATACCATAGCCTATCTGATTTGGGCATTTTCAAGTCTCTTGGAAAGGCTCTGCTAAGCTCAAGAAATGACTATTTTTACTAAAGGATCACTGTCAAGTAAATGTCTTGCAATACTCTTCTGCACTTAGTTGTTTATAATAGCTTCTTTTCAACTTCATAGCATTTCATTTTCTTTCTCGCTAGTTTTGTTGATTCGCATTTGACATTCATTATAAGGGACAAGGTTCTTTGTTATATAATCGAAGAGCTACAGGACAGTTTCACAGAATCACAGAATGGTAGGGGTTGGAAGGGACCTCTGTGGGTCATCTAGTCCAACCCCCCTGCCGAAGCAGGGTCACCTACAGCAGGCTGCCCAGGAACTTTCCCAGGCGGGTCTTGAATATCTCCAGAGAAGGAGACTCCACAACCTCCCTGGGCAGCCTGTTCCAGTGCTCCGTCACCCTCAGAGGGAAGAAGTTCTTCCTCATGTTCAGACAGAACTTCCTGTGCCTCGGTTTGTGCCTGTTGCCCCTTGTCCTGTCGCTGGGCACCACTGAAAAGAGTTTGGCCCCATCCTCCTGAAACCTACCCTTGAGTTTAGATTAAATTATATTAGTTTACTGCAACATACTGTGCAGTGTACACCTATTCAGTTTTTAAAATACTTAGAAAATATTTTTATGAAATATAGACATTGTTGACTTTTTAGAAAATTATTTGCTGCTATATACGTAGATAGAAAAAAATAACATATAATTTGCAAATTTGTAGAATGTGACTCACTTCTAACCAATTTATTCTTCTGGTTCTTGCCTTTCTCCCATATTTTGATAGTAAATCTAATGGAGATCAGTTACTAAGTGGAATGAGTGACTGGATTGTTTTGTGAATCAGAGGAAGGCTCCGACTCTAAAAATACACTTTTAAGTAGATACAGATGTATTCAGCTCTGTTAGTTACTGTATCCTTGGGCTATGGAAATTTGAAAGTTGTGATAACTCATTGAGACAAATCATGAGCATTTAAATTATTTTCTGCCATAAACAAACATTTAGAATCTTGCATGAGAATAAATAATTTGGTGAGAGTAATTTCAGTAAGAAGGGACTGTTTCAGTTGTCAATACCATGCCCTGCAATCACATGGTTGGTCTAGTTTAAAAGAGTCTATCAGTTATGTCCTGTACTAGAGGTCACAACACAGTTCCCAACCTTAGCATCTAAGATCTGTTAAAAAAAAAAAATCTCAGGACTTAGAATTTTCATATATCAGAAGAAAAAAACCCCAAACAACAAGTCCTATCTCAGATATTGGCGTCTCCCTAGGAGAGTGGTTGCTACAGAGAATTCATGGATGATGGTAGGAAACATACTGTGGTACTGAGAAAAACATCTTTATTGGTCCTATCCAGTCTGAACTGGAGAAGGAAGAGGGCAAACGGCTTTACATTGACTCACTCTGGCAGTCAGTTTTACATTGAATATCTGAGAAAATCACAGCAAGGAGACAATTTTCAAAGTTTGCAAGAAGGATGAGAAGAAAAATGAGACACCAAGTTATGTCTTAAGGAGAGGGATGGAGGTGTGTCGGGTGTTGGCTTGTTTTGTGTGTCTTCTGTTCGTGGCTTGGTGCTTTTGACTTGGAGAACACAAAGTCCATTTTGATGAGATGAAAATTTCTTTTTTTTCCATTTTTCTTTTTTTTCTTTAACTTCTGTCATATTGAACTTTAATAACATGCCACTAATGGACCATCACATTGATTTCTGGAGGCTGCCTGTACAAACATCATTAATTCTAATATCTACAAGGATTTTTTTTAGTAAATAGTCTTGTGTCATTTACATGGAGGAGCATTTGAATTTCAGTCAGGGCATCTTGAAAGATGCGACATTTTTTTGTGTTTGTACCTGTTTCTGGAATGATTTTATCATTGGAAATTTGCTAATTTCCCTAGTTCTGTAGTTGGTTTGCCTTTCAAGACTTTTCAAACTGCATAACTAAATCTTCCTCCATTACTCAGCAGTGATAACTGTTGAAACTTGTGGATGCTTTTGCATTGCTGAGGAGTCTGCGGATCAGAGGCAGATGCTCCTCAGACAAATGCTTGTGACAGGTAGACTGCACCTGCTTGGTTAAGAGTGTTTTCTTCCTGGATTTTCGCAGAAAGGAAAAAAATAATCTGTAGTTTGATACTGTAAATTATGTTCATAGCAAGATGATAGGAACAAAATGTATGTATCATACGCATTGAACTAAGTGTGTCAATAGCTAGTAGGGACTTGTGGACAAATTTTTTTTTAATTCTAAAATACTTCAAAATTGTTGGAAAGAAAAGCAATGAATGTAGCTTAAAACTCATCTTGAATATGTAAACTGAATCAAGTAAAATAGTTACTGTGGTTAGAAGCTTAGGCATAGCTTGATATTTGTTAAAGTTTTCATTCTGTCTTCTCATCTTAACTCTTCTAAATGACATTAAAAGTTTGTGGTGGATGCAGGAAAACCGCAGAGTTTGATCTGCAAGTTTCTCAAGAACTACAGAGGTAGCCTATTCAAGTTACTTGTGATAATGTTTTGTTCCAACAGAGAGCAGCCTTTGTTTTAATTCAATACAAATACGTTGGGGATACGGGAAAAAATCATTACAACAAACTTATATAATAGGGTTATTGTATACTGTATTCCAGATCTCCATTTTGTGGTTCACTGTATGGCTATTATTTACATACGTTGCGGCCTTACCTAGATGTACTTGCTAGTCTTAGGATTTGAGTGTTCAACTATGCTAAACTTTTGAAAATTGTAGGAAGATGGTACCTTTTCTGAAGACTTAGATTTTTAAACCAGGAATCAGTAGAACATGTAACAGCATCAGGGAAGAGAGCTAACGCAGTATATATGATTGTATAGGATATTTGTGCTCTGATAGATGTTACTTAGTCCAGGTCAAAAGTGGATGAAAGTTACGTTTCATCTTCCCTTAGTTTACTTCATGCTAATGTTTCAGGAACTTGTCTCCACTGGGTTATTGTGCCAGACAGTTAATATGAATCGATTACCCATGTTGCTTTGTTATACAAGAGTTGGGATTAGTTATTCCACTGTTTATTTAAAAGCAATATTATTTGGCAGTGAACTGCCATACCATAGAGTAGGTTTGCATGGCTGAGTGATCTTGATGCATGCGCAGTTGCAGGTTTTTATCACTGGACAAAAACAGACGTAGACAGCTATAACCATTAGTGGTCCATCAGTCTAATTATTTTGTCACACAGAAATCAGTTGTTTGCATATTACGTTAACATTTCAATAGTAAAACTTTATTTTCAGAGATTTGTAAATTGATCAGGTTAAGAATACACTGAAATAAAATTGTGTACAGTTAGTTTGAAGAAAAAATATGCTCTTGAAAATGAAGTATTACTCTAAAAATGTGTTTATTGCTACTATGACTTTTAATTATTTTACACTTAAATAATATGATCTTCATATTTTACAGAGGAAAGCCCAAAAGCTGAGAAACCAAAAGTAGATGAGGAGTGTGATGAAAATGAAGAAGATAAAGACTATCACAGGAGTGACCCACAGATTGCTATCTGCCTTGACTGTTTACGCAACAATGGGCAGTCAGGAGATAATGTAGTCAAAGTAAGTAATGAAGAGAATCCGTGCTGCTGCTGTTGTTGGCAGAATAGCATCTTACAGGAACCACATAATTTTATAACCATTAACAGTAAATTTTAATGTGCTAACCTTTCTCCAATTCCATGCTTATTTAGTCCTTTTGTTTCAAACATTTCAATGCATCTTGGAATTTTGTAAAAAATACAATTCCATTTAGAAATCCATCTGTGACAATGGATTTTTTTTTTTAATGGATTATAGTTTTGTAGTCTACAGCCTTGATGGTATATGACTGCATTACAGAACAGATTACACCATACTACAGAGGTACTTAAAAAGCTAGCTGTAGGTGAGCTGCCTCACACTTTCGGGATTGCTCTCTTACCGTGCCAGCATGAAGCTGCATTTCAGATATGTTGTGCACTGGATGACTGGGATCCAGATCTTGTGAGCTGTAAACCTGGTTCTGACACTGATGTCTCGTCTGTGGCCTTGGGCAGGTCACTTCCATTTGTAAAATGTGTCGGGTAATACCTACTAACTGCAGTTTTAAGAATTAGGGATGTTTGATTTCTGTTCCTGAAGGGAATATTACCTAATGGTATCGGGGCTAGAAGAAAGTGTTTAGAAATGCTTTCAGATTTTAATAAGGTTTTATTGAATTTCAAAGAAAAGAGTTAAAAAAATATTAAAAATTTGTTTGATTAAACACTAATATTTTCTGTGTCTATGTTACAAGTATAATTTTGGAAGTTCTTACACAGTAGGAAAGTTTTGATTGAACAAGAAAACATATGTATGTGTTATCACTGTCTGTTTATGCTATGTAGACTAAGAAATCTGTATCTCCATCACCATGTAGGAGACTCAGGTTTCCAGCTTTCTTGTTGAATCAAAATTATTAGGTTCTGGTTCACAGAATGTGGGATAATAGATCATGCCTCAGGTTTGTAGCTTTCCTGTATTTTACTTAGATTATTTGAGGATATTTTTACTTCCTTTTTTCTCTCAAGAAGTGAAGAAATTTAACATCTGTTTGACTCCCAATGTTACTAACACAGATTCTTAAAATATTTTAAGTTCTTTGGGAGCTTTTGATGGTTTTGGTGGGGTATTTTTTCCCTTTCTTCCCTTCTGTATCTTTTGGAAATTGCTTTAGAACCAGAAATGGGTCAAATGAACTTGTCATCTTGTAAAGTTTGCAAAACTGTGAGCAAAAATGAACTTATGGTGTCATTATGAATTGGAAGACAGTGCAGTAAAATTGGTTACTGGTTGAAAAAAAAAAAATCGATTACAGTTGTTCTTGTACTAAAGAGTGCCTACATGCTGCAAAATTTCTAACATGTTTTTTCTGTCTTGTTGCTGTTGCTTTAGGGCTTAATGAAGAAATTTATCCGCTGTTCTACTCGAGTGACCGTGGGAACTATCAAAAAGTTTCTCAGCTTAAAATTAAAACTTCCAAGTTCATATGAGGTACATTTGAAAGAATGATACTTGTATTTTTATTTCCCTGCAAAGTATTAGGTTTTTATTTAATTTAATCATATTTGAACTTGAGGAATATTTTTTTTTTTAGCTCAGTCACTAAGTACTGTTCAATATTCCAAGTTATATTTTCTGCCCTTAAATGAGAAGTGATCATTTTATCACAGTGACTAAAGTTCCTAATCAAGGTACTCTTACAACTCTAGTAACTTCAGTTTGTTGCTTGCCTGTGAAAGAACAGATACGTTAGCTTTGGATATTTTTATGTAAAAAAAATAAATGCTTTCTCTTTCCATGTGGCTAAGAAAAAAGTCTCTTCATGCAGTTTTGGGCTGGTAGCTACTCGGAAAAAGGAGACCTCAATGAGACTTACGCAAAATTTACTCTGCGATTTCCTTTTCTTTAGATGTAAGAAACTATCCAGTAATTATGAAGAAATGAGGAGCCATAACATTTGAATCTTTCAAAATGCAGATACTTTTTTTTCTGCATTCTCTGGAATTAGGTGGAATTTGATGGAGAGAGGGTCTTTGCTGCATGAGTGATTTGACCTTGGCCAAGACTGTTCTCTGAGAGGGATTTCCTAACGTGGTAGAAGTTGTGATGCCGGGAGGAGCTGGGAAGCGTGAGACTCCTGCCTCTTCTTCCCGTCATCCCAGGGATACAGGAATTTTGTCCTCAGCACAGACCATTTCTTCTCTCACAGAAGTCAATGACTCTACGACCTGGAGGCTGCCTTTAGCACAAATGGCAGCATCCCAGCTTTGGTCAGACGTAGTGCTGAGTTAGGTTTGGTGCACAGGTTATTGCAGAGCTATATGCCGGACGTTGCCAGAGTATTGTGGCATGCTGACCAGCCGTTTTGGTGTAATTTGGTTTTGTTAATATGTTAATTTAATCTGTCTCTGGCACCTTAATGGCCTGTGTTATATAGTATCTGCTTACTTCAAAATTTTGACATTTTTTCCCCTAAAAACCAGGAAAATATTACGGCTACAGTAGTGAAAGAATTGTCAAACATTTTCAGTGGAGGACAGAAGTAAGATGCTATAATACAGATTAAAACAGTCTTTTTTCACAGTAAGATCATTACTTTTCTTTTTATTTTGCCTTCAGTTAATGAAGAATCATGTTTGTATACTTAGAAGTGCATTTTCCTTGTAATTTATAGTTATTTTAAAACTAATATTTTTTAAATTATGATTTATTTTTAAAAATGAAAATTACAGTACTTCTGTTTTGTATCTTTGGATTTGAAAGAGCATTGAAATAGCAAGAAGGCCTTCAAAATACAGCACAAAGCTTTCTCTTCAAACAGATACTGTGTAGTATTGATAAATATAGGGAGTGTTTGTCTGCTAGTGATTTCCTACCTGGTTTAGCAGACTTTCTTCTGTGCACACCTTAACTGAAAACACAAAAGTGAAAAAATAAAGTGCAATAGTAGTGTAAAAAATACCACATTGTCAGCATGTTGTGTTTATCGAGGCTTAATATATATGTTGGATGGATTTATTGTATAATGACAGGAGTTGAGAGATTAACTCTCAGAGATTCACTTAGGAGTTCATTTAGACATTAAAATTTTTGTCTTACTGTTTTTTCTGTTGTGTTTTAAGCTGGATGTACTATGCAATGGAGAAATCATGGGGAAGGATCATACTATGGAATTCATCTATATGACAAGATGGAGACTAAGAGGCGAAAACGTAAATCCTGTCACACTGTTAATAAATGATGTTTCGGTATATTTATTATAGAGAGTATACATGGTTTCACAGCTTGGTCCAAAAAATATTCTGTGACCCTTCAAAAAAACGCTCTTTAAAAATGCATTTTGCATGTTTTCTGGATTTCTTAGGTTAAACCCTATGAGTGAAACCCTGCAGCACGTATATTGTGTAGATTCTGAAACTTTAAAATAGTAGGTATACAAAGTTTACATGCAGGTTCTGCTCTGAGTTTTAAGTCAAGTATCTGAAAGCCCAAGCACATGTTCTTTTTCTGCAAATTTGCCTTGGAGTTACAGTAGGTGGGGAATCTTCATACAGCAGTTCTTTATTAAGAATCTGTTTTATTCAGTCAGTAAACTGAAAATGACACTGAAAAATTATTGGTGAAATTTAATTGTTTTATTACTGTTTCTGTCAATACTACACCCATTTTTTTTTTAGATGTGCTGTATAACACTGACATCCAGATAACAGCTAAATGGGTTTTCTTTGCTGCATGTGTATATTATAGAATCACAATATTTAACTTATTAAAAGACATTTCTTTCAGGTCTGATATTCAGTTTGATATAGTAGCCCTTATATTGCCTTGTATATTTTTTTTTTTGTTACAAGTCATATCCCCATTTCTCTTCTTTCTTTTATACATTTATACAAACACAAACAGTTTGTGTGTGGCTGTTGATTGTTCTTCACTCTTTATTGCTTTGTAGTATATGCAGATTTGTTGCCTGTCACTACCAGTGGAGGCTGTATTGGAATGCAGCTAAGGTTAAGCGCTTAACATGCTAATGTACTGATCTGTAGAAAATTACAAACTTTCTGGTTGTTTTTTTGTTTGTTTTTTTTTAAACTTCCTAGCACTCAGATTAAAAAGCAGTGGGGCATGGACAGAGAAGACAGAGGATTAAGCACGCTGTGAAGTTAACAGTTCACAAGTTTCTTAGTTTTACCTTAATCTGAAGGAGGAGGAAACGATTTTAATAGGAATTAGGGGAGTTTGTGTATATAGACAAGTATTCATTAAATCTGAAGTAATATTGCACTGAATTTTGATGATTGCTGAAACCCCAGTATTGCACCAATAATCGCAGAATCATAGAATGGTAAGGGTTGGAAAGGACCTTAAAGATCATCTGGTTCCACCCCCCCTGCCATGAGCAGGGACATCTTCCACTAGACCAGGATGCTTAGAGCTCCATCCAACCTGGCCTTGAACACTTCCAGGGAGGGGGCATCCACAGCTGCTCTGGGCAACCTGTTCCAGTGCCTCACCACCCTCATGGTGAAGAATTTCTTCCTAATATCCAATCTAAATCTGCCCTCTTTTAGTTTAGAGTCGTTCGCTCTTGACCTATCACTACACACCCTTGTGAAAAGTCCCTCTCCATCCTTCCTGTAGGCCCCCTTCAGGTACTGAAAGGCTGCTTTAAGGTCCCCCCCGAGCCTTCTCTTCTCCAGGCTGAACAGCACCAGTTCCCTCAGCCTGTCCTCACAGGAGAGGCACTTCAGCCCTCTGATCATCTTCGTGGCCTTCCTCTGGACCTGCTCCAACACATCCATGTCCTTCTTATGTTGGGGGCTCCAGAGCTGGACACGGGACTCCAGGTGGGGTCTCATGAGAGCGAGTAGAGGGGCAGAATCACCTCTCTCGATCTGCTGGCCATGCTTCTTTTGATGCAGCCCAGGACACAGTTTGCTTTCTGGGCTGCAAGCACACATTGCTGGCTCATGTTGAGCTTCTCATCCACCAGTACCCCCAAGCCCTTCTCCTCAGGGCTGCTCTGCAGCCATTCTCCGCCCAGCCTGTACTTGTGTCTGGGATTACCCTGACCCACGTGCAGGACCTTGCACTTGGCCTTGTTGAACTTCATGTGGTTCACGCAGACCCACCTCTCCAGCCTGTCAAGGTCCCTCTGAATGGCATCCCTTCCCTGCAGCGTGTCAACCACACCACGCAGCTTGGTGTCGTTGGCAAACTTGCTGAGGGTGCACTCAGTCCTGCTGTCCATGTTGCTGACAAAGATATTAAACAGCACTGGCCCCAGTACCGACCCCTGAGGCACACCACTCGTCACTGGTCTCCACCTGGACATTGACCCATTGACTGCAACTCTTTGAGTGCATCCATCGAGCCAGTTCCTTATCTGACGAGTGGTCCATCTGTCAAATCCATGTCCTTCCAATTTAGAGTCAAGGACGTCATGCGGGACAGTGTCAAATGCCTTGCACAAGTCCAGG